ATAAAAATGACAAGTACAGCAACAACAACTAAAGTAGGCAAAAAAATAGTTACAAATCCCACACCTATAATGGCCTCTCCTACAGGTCAAAGAATGATAGGGACCATGTTGGGGAAAGAAAAAGAAAAGGCAGAATTGGCAATGACCCCACAGAGCATACAGATAACACTACAAATGATTCAAGAAACAATGATGATGATCCAAGAGGCAATAGCAAATAATCATGAAGAAACGAAAGTACATCACAAAGAAATCAAGAATGATATTGGAGAAATGAGAGATGAAATTAAAAACATGAATGATAAGATAGGCAATATACAACAAACAATGATGGAAAATGAACAAAGAATTCAAAAAGTTGGCTATACGCTTTAAAATGCTTTAACCGTTCTAACCATTTCAGTGAGCAGTAACACAAATATTAACAAGTAAAATATAAAACAATTTGAAAAATGTACAATATATCAATCTTTATATACACTTAAAAGATTAAAAAATAAATCCAAATGGCATCAACAAAAATCTCTTCAACCAGCATGTGCACATGTGCAGGCACGCGCACACACACACACACAAAACACAGGCTGAATTTCCTTTAGGATGTACCAGGATCAGTATGAACAAATTCTTAAATTATATAGTCTTTCCTTTGATTATCAAATTTCCTACGTGGACTAATTTACATTTCATAACATGTTCATAACCCGAGGGGCAACTGCATTCAGACTAGTTTCTAGTGAACAAAATTCCTATGTATACTGAAAAATTAATATCTACTATTTGGTTGAAGTTTTGTTTATTTCTTATACATCTCAGACTCACAAAGAAAAAGCATGTACAGTAGAGGAGCGGGCTGCATACATGTCTTCTATTGGTATTTGATCAGTTTGGATTTGAACTGCATGGACTATGGCTATTTCCAGACTACGTACTTTCAAAATGTAAGAAATAATAATGGCAATATTAAAGCATGCCTCAGAAATATGGGAGCTGTAGTGGCGCAGTGGCTAGAATGCAGTACAGTACTGTGGCTGATTCTGACTCTGCCCACTGCCAGGAGTTAAATCCTGACCTGCTCAGCCTTCCATCCTTTTGAGATCAGTAAAATGAGGACTGAGATTGTTGGGGGCAATATGCTGATATTTGTAAACCATTTAGAGAGTGATATAAAGCACTATGGAGTGGTTTATAAGTCTAAGTGCTATCGCTATTTAAATGCCCTGGCCAATCCAACAGTATCTTCTAGTTCTGTTAAGCTACAACTGGAAACTCTTACCTTGGAGCGGTCTGGATCACAAAAGTCCAATAAAGTATCACAGACATGATAACCTAAAGATTTGAGATCCTCAAATGTAAAATGACAGTTACTTTTAGCACCTGAGAAAGACAAATAAACATGTGGCTCTTTAGTATTTAGTACAGTAAATACCTTGATATGCAATCAAGAGAAAAGTCTTTCCCTTATTCATCACATTGTGTAATTTATTATTTAACCAGCATTCTTTGCACAGTCTTTTCTTTTGCCCATTGTACCTATTATTATTCAATAAAGGGCAGTGCATCCATTATAATCTTATTTCTTTCTTTTACTTCTTCCTTTTTTGCTTAACGCTCCTGAAGAATGAGAATTTACTCTTCAAGTTGTATTGTTTTTCTGATCTCTTGCTGTCTAGTTACATCATGTTCTTTTCCATGCAGTAGTAATCAGAATTAGCTAAGATCTCCCCCCACACACACTTTCCTTTGCTTCTTAAAAATACAAAAGTAGATACAGTTTTAGATGACCTCACTCATGCTGCTACTGCTACCAAAGTCTATTGACTTTGACAGAATGTTAAAATACCTAGTTCCTTGATTATGTTAGGATTTCATAGCCAGTAAGCTTGTTTCTCACTTTACTATATTTAATTTGAAATACTCTTAACATACAGTCTCTGTATCACAAGGAGATAACTTTATTTTCCCACAACATGAAGCAATCAGCCCAAGCAATGAAATAAGGCTGGGATAGCCATGAATTTAACTGTAGGTCTAAGGTACAGTACAAATACTCACATTCTGTAGGCCGAGTGCACAGCTGCTAACCCAAAACCAATTAAAAATCACCAGACCATTAAAAAAAGAGAATATGTGTAGTTCAGGGTTGAACTATGGGGTCCTTGGTGTTCTCTGAGCTTGGTTGTTTTCCTATTATCTGAACCTAGATACTGTACTACCTTGAATAGAAAAAAAGATGTACGCTCACCAAGTGTTGATCCACTGAATGTAGATTCCATTGTATAACTGTTCTGTATTCCCATTCTCCACATCACAACTCGTCCAGTTCCTTCTTTACACTTCTGAACTTGAAATTTACAGCTGTTGAAACAAAACTGAACATCCAAATTGTCCAAATTAGAATTATTATATTATTAGAGATATTTATTAAAGCATCGTTGGATCAGGCCAAATAAATAATTAACACTNTAGATTCCATTGTATAACTGTTCTGTATTCCCATTCTCCACATCACAACTCGTCCAGTTCCTTCTTTACACTTCTGAACTTGAAATTTACAGCTGTTGAAACAAAACTGAACATCCAAATTGTCCAAATTAGAATTATTATATTATTAGAGATATTTATTAAAGCATCGTTGGATCAGGCCAAATAAATAATTAACACTTGGTAATCCATTAATGTATTTAAAAAAACACTCTAGAATGCAGGTGATTGAGAACCAGTTTGGTGTATTGATGAAGGTGCTAACCTATAAACCAGGAGATAAGTGAGTTTTAGGCCTGCCTCAGGCATGAAAGCAGTCTGGGCTGACTTTGGGCTGGGTACTCTCTCACAGCCCAAACCACCTCATAAGTTATTGTGGTGGGGAAAATAGGGGACAGGAGTATTAGCTATATTCACTGCCTTGAGTTACATAAAAAGGTGAGATAAAAAATTAATAATAAAAACAATTTCTCTCTCAGATTATAAACTGTGTATCTTCTAGGGATTGTTGTCATACAATGTTAAACCATATTGTAATCTGCTCGGATTAATTTAGGGTCAAATAAAATACAATTCAAGATAAAAAGTCTGAGCTAGCCAATCAGTGTTTCCGAATATTATTTGTTATGTTCTATCATTGCTTCTGATTAGCTACATGAAATTTGGCAGTGGGCATATAGATATAGGATCTTTTTTTAAACAAAAAATAAACATCTGCAACCAATATTTACACCTGGCCTTTAAATAATGTTGCGTTTTGAGCTGTAGCACCTCCTTCTCCTGCTTCTGATAAAGTGCACATTTCCTTTCCCCACCACCTTACGCCTGGATTCTGCCTGATCTTCAGCTACAATTGTTTTCCAGTCATTATTCAGGCCCATGAACATTTTCCAAACTGTATCCAATTAATTCCATCTTACAATAAAAAAATGAATGTCACTATAACTTGCGATTTGTGACATACAAAAAGCATTTTCTGTGTTGACAACAGTGAAATGCATGTCTTTTTAAAATTAGAGCTATAATTTTAATTTTATATTTAAGACCTGCATTATTTGGTTTCTTGAAAATAAAAAGATTTATTTTTATGAGTGTGTATTAAATTTTTGTTATCTGCTTATACTGGAAAAATTGCTATATTTGTAAAATGTGACAAAAACCAATGTCATAGTTCAAGAGGATTGAAAAAGTAGATATGCTGCCTAAATACGTTTCTGTTCCAAATTACCCCAAGTTTCACCACCAAATGCTTCTCCATCCATTAATTAAAAATGGCACAAGTCAGAATACGTAGTTTATTTAAGGGAGGAAAATTTTGGCTATTGTAATCAGATTTTTTTTTTAAAAAAAATAGATATTTTCCAGTAATGAAAAGAAGTCTGAATAAAACAGTATCTGTGAAATTTAGACAATTTATACTGAAATAATGAATGTACTGAATTAGAATCTGTATACAGGCCCCACCTTATCAGGAATATTCTTGCTCATCATAAGAGGAAAGATTCGCTCATGAAGTAACTGATCTTGTGTATATTTATTGTTACAGCCATACATGAAGATATTGTTCTTTCTACTATGTCCATGGATATCACAATAGAGCAGAACTTCACGTTCCTCAAGGACTCTTTCAGAGCAGAGACACAAGACAGAAATAAAGAGAGATCCAAGGAAACCTCTGAATGTCTGATTTTATACATATAAACATATAAACAACTATATTGTATTATTTCCCCCCACTTGTATGGCAGTATCAAACAATTAGGAATTTGAACATTCCTGATAGATACATCTTTAGCTAGATTTAGTAGTTATTTAAAGTAAATAATTGGTTGATTCTCATTTCCCTATTAATGGCAGAATAGCTGTAATCCAATACACTTCTGGCAGAAAAAAGCCAGTTTGGTCTAATGGTTAAGGTACCAGGCTAGAAAGTGGGAGACCATGAGTTCTAGTCCCGCCTTGGCCATGAAAACTGGCTGGGTGACTTTGGGCCAGCCCAACCTCACAGGGTTGTTGTAAGGAAAATAGGAGGAGGGAATTGTGTTGGACATGTTCACCGCCTTGAGTTATTTGTAAAAATAAAAATAAATAAAAAATAAGAAAATGAAAGCACAAGAATTTTAGAAACAAGAAATAAAAGCAAAAAACAAACAAACACAACCCACTGATTCTCTGGCACTTTTTTCAAAACTGACCAAACGGGGGATAGCCCTTAAAAATCAAGGGTGTATTAGGCCATTTTACCTTCTAATTGAAAAATATGTATGAAATCCAGAAAGCAACAGTTCAAACAGAAGACTGTAACCAGCTATACAGTTCTAAATTGAGAATGTTCCAAGATTGTATATTTTTAGTTTATTTATTTAGCCATATGCAAGCTGTATCATAAGAAATGCTAAAATTACTGTATCAATATCTTGATGATACCACTTTAATGGCACAAGTGAGAAAGCCTTAAAGAATTATCTTACTGAAGATAAAAGAAGAGAATGCAAAAGCTGATCTGCTGTTAAGATTATGTCAATAAGCAATGCCATCCCAATGTGATTAATAGTAGAGAAGATGTTTACAAAGTAACATCATCTTTTTAGGCTCAGATAAGAAATGCTGACTGAAACTATGAAAAAAGATGTCTACTACTGGGAGAAGTATGCTAACTGTTCATCAGGACACGGGATTAGAAATGAAGAATAATTGAATAACAACAACAATGCATGTAGCTCATATGAATACTTGCTAGACGCTGTCCCTGACTGATAGGTAATACAGCATTTCTAGAGATGCTCAGAGTGTATGTACTTTTCTAAATTTTCTGTTTATAGTATACTCTCCTATATTTTGCAGAACATATATTGGATAAGCTAGCAATTTCACCAAATAGCACTGGCATATTTGAAGCCTCCGTAGCCTCCCACATGCAAACTAAGTCTGATATTTGTATTATTGCAAAAAAAAAAAAACTTCAGAAACTGTTGTAGGTATATACACATATGCTCACACAGTGTGTGTTTATTGAACAAATTTATATAACTGCACAGTGTGTATTTATTGAACAAATTTATATAACTGCTCAACTCACATGCAGTGACTGTGTGTGTGTGTGTGTGTGTATAGTTCTTAATATATGCTACCTTTAGAAACTTCATATAAATCTCTGTCACTTACCTCTTGATCATGGCCCGAGTATACCAAATGCAGGGGAAAGATTCCTTTAATTCTGTCCTATAGTTTCTGTTCAAGTCTCTTCCTGCCAACGAACAGCGATAGTTCCCCACAATAACTCCATCTGGGTTCAGCATGGGCACAACTTTGAATATGAAGAGATCTCGAAGGAGCTGAGCATCAGGAGCGTCACTCAGGATAAAATCCAAGAAACCTCTCATCACCCATGAACTATTTGTTTCCCCAGGATGGACTCTGGCAGTTAGTATAATAGCTTTTTTTGCTGCTCCAGCCATGGCACTTTGGGACGGATTGGTAATAGTAAGAAGGTATACTGTGTTTCCAGCTAGACTGTTGCACAGAGGGCGGAGTTTGCAATGCTGAGAATAGAGTGGATTACTTACCAAAGTCAAAAGATAATTTTGTAGGTCTGAATAGGTATAAGGATAAAATTGAGCAAAGTAACATGTGTCATAGCTGTTAGGAAAACACACCGTCCACGTGAGGCAATAGAGGGTTTGACCTTCTTCTGTGTTGTATTTATAATACTTGATATGATTACCCACCCTCCTCCAGCCAATACCCTCAGACTCAGCATCCTTCTGAGAATACATGAGAGGCTTCATCCCCATATTGTAGAGGCTTTTGGCTTTCATCAGATTAACAATTGTGAAGCGGTACGTGACATCTTTTCTAGTATTTTGCACTCTGAAGTAGTACCACTGGGTATGCTTGCTGGTATAAAGATCCGTCCGCAAAGTGAGTTCATATTCATATTCGCCTCTGAAAGGAAGCAGGGAGGACAAAGATGCATTAAAAGCCAGCAGCAGCCTCTTCCTCTTGGGAAGAACTACATAGTGACATGTCCTTCAGTCTTATTTAAAGATGAAATAGAATGATTCATTTTATTACGGTCTTCCTCTCTGTGAATAAAGAGTTCAAGGACACACTCTTTCCATCAGCTTGTTAATGTGGCACATCATTTGTTATTTGTGTGGCATATGTGGCCTTGACCAGATTCCATTTTGGGGAAATGGGGAGTTTTAAGAGATGAACCGAATACCTTAATTCTTGCCGGTCTGTAGTATTTAGGTGATTTGCTTTATATGGAAATCCAGGTGGCTTAGAAATCTTAGCCAATATTCATTTTTATTTTCTTTCATTCAACAAGGAAGGGGATGAGTTAAAGGTAAGGTGCAAAATAAGTAAGAAGAACATTCCTTTAGAACAGTGTTAAGATGTAACAAAATGAAATTCAATGGTGAAAAAAGCAAGGTTCTACATTTAGGCAAGAAAAACCAAATGCACAGGTATAGTAAAGGGGGTACCTTGCTCAACAGTAGTAACTGTGAGAGGGACCTCGGAGTCCTAGTGGACAATCACCTAAATATGAGCCAGCCATGTGCTGCAGCTGCCAAAAAGGCCAACACAGTGCTAGGCTGCATTAACAGAGGGATAAAATCAAGATCATGTGAAGTGTTAATACCACTTTACAATGCCTTGGTAAGGCCACATTTGGAATACTGCATCCAGTTTTGGTCACCGCGATATAAAAAAGATGCGGAGACTCTAGAAAGAGTACAGAGAAGAGCAACAAAGATGATTAGGGGACTGGAGGCTAAAGCATATAAGGAACGGCTGCTGGAATTGGGTATGTCTAGTTTAATGAAGAGAAGGACGAGGGGGGACATGATAGCAGTCTTCCAGTATCTCAGGAGCTGCCACAAAGAAGAGGGAGTCAAGCTATTCTCCAAGGCACCTGCAGGCAGGACAAGAAGCAACGGATGGAAACTAACCAAGGAGAGAAGCAACCTAGAACTCAGGAGAAACTTCCTGATAGTTAGAACAATTAACCAGTGGAACAACTTGCCTTCAGAAGCGGTGAATGCTCCAACACTGGAAGTTTTTAAGAAGAGACTGGACAGCCATTTGTCCGAAATGGTATAGGGTTTCCTGCCTGAGCAGGGGGTTGGACTAGCTGACCTCCAAGGTCCCTTCCAACTTTACTATTATTATTATTATTATTATTATTATTATTATTATTATTATTATTATTATTATTGTTGTTGTTGTTGTTGTTGTTGTTGTTGTTGTTGTTGTTGTTGCTGTTGCTGTTGTTGTTATTAATATTATTATTATTATTATAGACAGCTAAATGGCTCTCTCTGCAAGGATCATGTGGTACTAATAGTTTCCCTAAAAATCTGATAGGGAAAGCAGTGTCTTTTTGGAGTGCCAAGTGTGAAAATGCCACTACATTCCACCCATATACAGTTGCATATAAAGTTTAAGATCTACTAGTTAAACTGTGAATTTAAATAAATCCTGAAGTGAACAGAAGCTGACAAAACCTCTACATCTTCTGCTTCTGCTGCAATCCACAGCAAATTTGATTACTTAATATTTATGTGCAATTGTTTACAAGTAAAGAGTGAATACGGCAAGTGAAGAACGTTGGACAATATTTTATATCACCTTTGGCAGAAGGAACAACTTCAGAAAGAGCTAAGAGTCTTGTCTCACTATTGGATTTCCTCCCACTCTTCCTTGCAGATCTCTTCTAATAGTCTCAGGGGGTCTATGACAATTCGCCCTGGCCAGCTCGCCCTGGCCAACTCGCCACGGGACAAGAGTTACACTAATATCAAAAGAATGGTGGAATAGAATCATTAAAGAAGGGATGCAAAAACAGGTACAAAATGAAATGTGAATGACAAAACTTAAAATATTTTTGTAATTGATTTTAAATAATTAAATCAAATTGTTCAATTGCCCCATGGCAAATTGTCCCACAGCAAGTTGGCCGTGGCAAGTTGTCCATGGTGAGTTGGCCGCAGCGAGTTGTCCCATTCGGAGTCTCAGGTCTCCTTGCATGACCTGCATACTTGAGATTTTCTCATGGTCTTTCAATAATATCCAGCTCTGGGGAGTAGAAAGATCACTCCAAAACTCAAAGGTGCTTTTTCAAAATGCAACTGGACTGGTGGTTGGTTTTTTTGTTTTGTTTTTTGTTTCCCCTCCACTCTGATACAGATGACATTGAGGCCCCAGATAAAACCCCAAGTGGCCTCAAGAGGTCTCAGGGAGAGTGCTAAGACCAGAGACTGCAAAGAAATATGATCCTTCCACACACATCCTGCCATCCTGTCAGAATTCATCCTTCTATCGCTCCCACCATCCTGCCAGAACCAATGAAGCTTCTTGGATGAGAAACAAAATGTCTTCCTCAAGAAAAAAAAGTCCAGTTGCCTTTTGAAAAAGCACCTTTGAGACAACTGTGACCTGGGTGACTGAGAATTTCCACAGACCCCATTCCAAAACCTTTGTCTTTCTTTCCTGAAAGCATGGTTAATTTGAAGATATGAGACAATAATGCCTTTATAGGCCCCTCCAAATTTCAGTGCTATATGCTAGGTCAGCTCTTTCTTCTGTGACAAGATTCTGGATGAGGGAAGCCTTATTACAGGCCAACCTGCTGGCACCTATGGTAATAATAGCAACTGGAACTCAAAACTGCTCAGGATCCAGTGCCCTAGTATTGGATGCCTGGATATCTTTAGCTGAGTCTCACCACTCATTCTTCTTTTTACTTCCTCTGTTGGTTTGCTTAATATACAAATGCTTGTGAGTTCTGGATAACAAAAAACCTTGCTAACTGCTTGGAGAAAGCACTATTTACCCAAGATGTTAGATTTCCTTTGAATTGTTTAGGAAAGGCATAATAAATCATACTGTTTTTAGTTGCAGATACATTTGTGTAAAAAAGTTTGCATAAAATGTGGCAAAACTCAGTTAATAACTGCCTTGCTTAGCCACAGAAATTTGGAGCTCAACTGTAGTCATAAATCAAAGACTACCTGTATATCAATTTAAATTAAAATTCATGATAAAGTACATCTGAAATATGAGGTATCTCTTACAAGGACGTGATTTGTAATAAACCTTAGCACTTTTAATGTTAATGCAATAGCACAATCAATGTCCTTCAACAGATTATCCTAGCCCTTCATTAAAAATAAAATGTTCTCCTTTTCTGGTCCCACATATTTTCCTGCCCTGTATGATTCCCAACTCTTCTTACTCACACCCTGATTGCTTTCTGGAGATTCCCACTTTCAAAGCGTGATTCGAATAACAGTACAGTATCTTCTGGATCTTTTAAGGTGGCAGCAGCTGACTTGATAGGTAGCCTTGATCCTCCAACTCGTGAAGCAATAAAATAGGCATCTGTAGTTGCTGCAGAAGAAGAGGAATGCCTGTCAACAAAGTTATCATAGATCTTGCTCTGTGATAAGTAGATCTGTGTACTAGCTTTGCAAAGTTTGTTATTAAAATTACTGACAAACACTAATCTCCCATGGATAAATAGCAATTAAAATTGACTGCAGATAAGTAATCTGATTCCAGTTTTTCTACTTTCTAAAAATTGGGCAAAATTAAAAACACTGTACAGTACTTCTCTAACTTTCCTCAATGATGACTTAAGAACTAAATTAGATAATACATGCAAAACAATGTGTGTAACAATCCTCAAATTATTCAAATTCAAAGCAATTGGGAGAGGCTATGGTGGAACAGCAGAATAGTTGAAAAGGTGCATAACTCTGCCTTCCACGAACATTTTTATTATAGTTTTCTACCTTATGCTCTTTTTTAAAAACCTTTGAAATAAGTACTTTGACATCTTTGGTAAAGACCCTGAGATAGGGCAGGGAGTTAAAGTTAAGCAGTCTAAGTCTCACTCAACCCATTTTTTTTCCCTTTCTCCCTCTTCCTTCAAATTACTCTTAACATTTTTCTTTCCTCACTTTACATCATGCCCCCCAAAAAATCAGCAAATTTTGTGATTTATTATTTTAAATTGAAAAATGTACTGTGTATTCTCTGAGCTTGTAAAAATAACATTTTATTTTTGGATAATCCATTATGTTTACACAGTGACCGACATTGGAAAGAATGCTAATGATGATGCTAATGATGATGGGTAAAGACATATGGAAAGATACAGCTCTTCTTTCATTGTCTTTGAACCCTCACATCCCTAAATATGACACCTACCTTTTCCTTTCCAATAGCAAACTGTGAAATTTATGTTCTGCAATTAATACTCATTATGTTATCAATGCAATTAATTCCTGCAATTCCAAAAGTAGTTTGGAACCATTATTAGCATTGTATATGTTTAAGGAAGTGTGAGAGGAGTGATAATCTAGAGCAGTGGTGGCGAACCTATGGTACGGGTGCCAGAGGCGGCACTCAGAAGCCTCTCTGTGGGCACGCGCACCGTCACCCCAGTCCTAGGCCTTCAGCTGGGTTTTATAAAACCTTTTCACTTTAGGCCTCCGCCGCCATGTGCAAAAAAAAAAAGGTTCAATCAATCAATTTCATCTTCTCTTGGGAAAAAAAAAGATCTTGAACAGTTGGAATTGATTGATTGAACTTTTTAGTCCCACCTAGTCTGCCATTACCTGCACAGCCACGCCCAGCCAATGGGTCACGCCCAGCCAATGGGCCACACCCACCCGGCACCCGACGATGCATAAGTGGGTTTTGGGTTGCAGTTTGGGCACTCGGTCTCTAAAAGGTTCGCCATCACTGATCTAGAGGTCTTGTACGAACCTCTGACACTTAGAAATTACACTTATGTAATTCAGTCTCTCTATACATAGACAAGTCTCCTAATAATCAAGCAAATAACTTGATTGTATTCAAGAATAAGATTCAAGATTTATATTTTTCATGTATACATCATGGCTTGAGAATATCCGTAGAATCTACCAAGATGATATGAAAATCAACCTCACAGAATTTAATATCCAGACAAATCATATTTTGATAGGAGATAAATCATACTTCTGATTGATAATCCAGCATGATTTACTTTCTTTTCTAGTATCCTGTGGTCTGTTATCTATACTACTTTCTTTATCTTCTGTATTCTAATTCACAACTGACTCTTGTCTTTATTTTCTAATTCCCCATTTCCAAGTTTCTCTTATCAATAGATTTTTTTTAGCCTTTACAGTAGGTAGCCTGCACGGTTCTCAGCCACTAACTAATAAGGCATCTTTATAGCAATGTATTATCACCCCATGTATACCAATACCTGGTTCTATGAAATAGACAACGGTTCCAGAACTCTCTCCAACTATTTCCGGTGCAAATTCATTTCCAGTTGGCTGATAAAAAGGTTCTGGCTTAGGAGGAACCCATTCTAATAAAGAAGCAAATAATGGCACTGTGATTTGGATTTCCCAATTTAAAAATTAAGTATTTCCTATTTGCTCTGGTTGACTCCTTCCAAATTGAGTTTCCTCTCAGTTCCATTCTAAAGACACTTCACAGTATGATATACAAGCATACAGAACACATTATATATATTTGTGTGTGTGTGTGTGTGTGTGTGTGTGTGTGTATTCACACTTACGATTGTAGCAACTTCCCCATGGTCACGTGATCAAAATTAGGATGCCTGGCAACTGACTCATAATTATGATGGTTGCAGTGTTATGGTGTCATGTGATCATCTTTTGCAAACTTCTGACAAGCAAAGTCAATGGGGAAGCCAAATTCACTTAACAACCATATTAATAACTTAACAACTGCAGTAATTTACTTAACAACTGTGGCAAGGAAGGTCATAAAGTGGGGCAAAATTGACTTAGCAAGTGTCTCACTTAGCAACAGAAGTTTTGGGCTCAATTGTGGTCGTAGCTTGAGGACTATCTATATTGGCCTGGATATTTTTCATTTATCAACTTTTTGAAAGCATAATATTTAAGAGGCTATTTCAAACGTTTGTTATTGAAATCCAATATATATATTGCCCCAAATTTCAATGCTAAACAGGATAGACAAATTTTAATTGCAAATTCAATGCCAAATTAAGATGATGCTCTGGAGGTTTTGAGGAAATCTTCAGTTACCAACCCCTGCTGTAATCAACCTAAAGCTTTGACATTATCTTTTAAATTAAAAATTGGGAATATTCTCATTATAGAGCTATATCCTGTTTTTTTATTGTATAAAAATATTCTGAACAACAATTGAAAATATCTATTTAAAAACTAATTAATCATAAAGAAACAAGCCTTGCAGAAAGAATATCAGCATTATTTCCAAACAATTAATCCTATCTTGCTATTCTTCTTAAGTTCTTTGAAATTTTCATCAGGCATGTGAATAAAAGTGATTGTCAACATGGTATATTTGGATCTGACTCTGTTGATAGTATATATTTGGATTTTTAAAAAACCATTTCTCATCAAAAGTTGTTGACTTAGCAGTCATAAGAAAAAATGGACCTGTTGTCTTGTGCATTTGGTTACAAACGGAAAACACTTCCTCACATAAGCATATCATTAAATTGTGAAATTCATTACTCAAGACATAATAATAGTCACTAGCAGGATAGGCTTTAACATGCAATCAAATAAAATCATGGAAAATGGAACTAGCACTCCTGAATACTCAATACTCAATTTGGAATATCTCCAGGTTGTGAGTAGCATGGCTGTAAATACTAGCTGTAGGGGAACAGTGGTGGGACGGGGCCTGTATCTCCTACTTTGATCTCCTGAAACATCCAGTTGGCCATTGTAAGGTGCTGGATTTAGATGGACCTCAGTCTGGCCCAGCGGTTCTCAACCTATGGGTCGCGACCCCATTTGGGGTCGATCGACCATTTCACGGGGGTCGCCAAGCAAGGCTGTCCGCCATTTTTCCCCCTTTTCCGGCGGGTGCCTTACCTCCCTTGGGCTGGGCCAGCTGGTGGTCGGCCTGCTCCGTCTCTGCCGCTTGCCAGCTACGCCTCAGCCGGCGCAGGGGGCAGAACCATGCATGTGCGGCGCTCCTGGGCAGGGAAAGTCCTCGACTTACGACCGGTTGGGTAGTCCTCGACTTACGACCGGTTTAGTCCTCGACTTACGACCGGTTTAGTCCTCGACTTACGACCGGTTTAGTCCTCGACTTACGATCGGTTGGGGGTCGCGGCATTAAAAAGGTTGAGAACCATTGGTCTGGCCCAACAGGGCAATTCCCATGTCCTTCTTTTCTCTTAAATGTACAGGGTTATTTCTGGATTGATTTGCAGGCATATGTAGCAAAATTCTATTTGTACAATAAATACATTACATTACAACAAATACATTTTTCCCGATATAAGATTCAGATTACCAATGTGATAGATATGATCCTCGATTACTTCACACTCGATTGGCCAGAGTGGGCTCAATTTTGAATTTCTACCTCTAGGAAGAGAAAAAAGATTCCGAGGTTCCCGTAAGCGCAAGATACTGGGGCTTTCCAGTTGATCAAGCATGCGCTGTTTACTTTTAAGAAGTGCAGTTTCCATTACTAGTGAACCTGTGAAAGGAAAAACATATACAATATGCTACTACTTTCTTTTCAGATACTCAGTGAAGGTTTTATTTCATTTTCAATAGCTAATGCACAACAGGTTGGTAATTCAGTTTACTTACAGAGTAGGGTCTTGTCTGAATCATGTTCTTTTCTATCTTTTTTGCAGAGGTTGCCTGCTGTCAATAAATGGCATGAGCTCTCCCAGCTTTCAAAGGGAAAACTAAACTTGTGAGGAAAATTTTCCTCATCTAAGAAATAAAATTTTATAATATTATTTCATGAAATTAGTTATTTTTAGTTAACCTTATAATTACAAGCTCTCAATGAATTACTGTATAGCTATTACAAATTCAGGAACATATACATTGAGAAATTATGCTGTATTACCAAGATCATATTTATATGCCCAGCTCACAGGCACAGCTGCCAATGTGTTATATTCAGCTGCAACTGTCTGCAGATTCCACATTGCCTTGCAACACTCTTATCCTCATATTTCCCTAAACTATTCTGGAGGATTTGGGAATCCCAGATTTATCATCTATATGATACAAGCTGCCCTTTCCTTGAAATTGGTACATACTGTACATAGGACCAGTTTCAACTGCTGTCTAATCTGATGTGTATTATCAGCTTCAAGACTGGGCAATTTTTTCAGCTGAAGGCTGCACTTAAAAAAAAACCAAAAACAATGTTGGCCTCCAAATCCCAAAGGTGTTTTTCAAATTGGACTTTCTTATTTTTTTCCTTGAAGACTTCAAGGAAAGTCCAGTTGCCTTTTGAAAAGCACCTTTGGGACAACTATGACCTGGAAATTGGGAATCTCCATAGACAGTTGGCTTCCAATGGTTACTGAAGGTTTGGTAATATGGTGCTGTCACAGTAAGTAAGGATGAACATTTCTGCCCTATATTTTCTTTTTTGGTAAGTGAGGATTGAGACTGAAAATGGAGGTTTAACCATCAATTTCAATCCTTATTTTAGAAAAAATGCAAGAGCTTTTCATATCAAATATCAACTATGCTCTATTAAATTCCACTGGTATCATCCTAGGGATAGTCAAGGGAGAATGAAAAGTCCATTATTCTCCCTATGTCCCTAAAGTCCATTGAGGAAGGATTATCTGTTTCAAAAGGTTAGGATTGAGGCAGAAGGTAAAAGGACAATGTCTTATATTGTGTGGTATCTGTGTGTGCTTATAAGTCAGTTTTGACTCCTGGCAACTGCTTGGACAAGTCCAGGCAGTTTTCTCAAAACATTTTCAGAAGTGGTTTGCCGGTGTCTTCTTCCTAGAGCTGAAAGACAGAAACTGCTTCATATCATTCTAAAAGTAGACTAGAACTCTAAAAATTTATAACCCAGTGCCTTTAACCATTATATTAAATTGTAGTAGTATAGTACTGGAGTAATGTGTTATTTTTTTCAATATTTTCTCATTTTATAAATACAACATCTTTTTACTAAAAGACATTTATTTTCATATTAGAACCTATCCCCTAAAGTGTTACCCACCTATCCAGAAGCTGGCAGAAAACTTCACTAGCACAAAATTTGTTGTGCCCATTGCTGACCTCTGTCTTGCCTCCACCCTGTCTCCAATTACTGTAAGTCAGTTGACCTCTCTCCATGATAATAGGTGGCAAAGCTTAATAGATTTTATATACCTTGACACTGTCCTTAGATGGTATCAGAATAAAGAGGAAATTACTATTTTAACATTAGCACAGCTAAGGACAACTTAAGTTTGTCTCACTTATGGATTGTGGACAATGGACAAGGGCATTGATTTTTAGCTATGATAGGTTTCGTTTATTGCTACATTTTATTGCACTGCATGCTAACTCACTGCTCACTCCAGGAGTTCAGTCCTGATGGGCTCAAGGTTGACTCAGCCTTCCATTCTTCTGAGGTGGGTAAAATGAGGATCCAGATTGTTGGGGGCAATATATGCTGACTCTGTAAACCACTTAGAGAGGGCTGTAAAGCACTATGGAGTGGTATGTAAGCCTAAGTGCTATTGTTATTGCTATAAATAACAGTAAGCACTAAGGATTTCTTAATGTTCAAACAATAAAAACAAGCAGTGAAAAGCAATCCCTAGCTAGTCCTTTGACAAAGGTAGTATCTCTTGCTACAGAATGTTACAGATGCAATAAAGATGAAAACATCAAATTGAGAACAGACACCTTACCTCTGAAATAACCATAGTACTGGAGATGTTGATATATAAACTGTTCATATGGGTCTTTAAACTGCTGTGGAAACAATTAGATTTCTGATCATTCTAAAAGCCAGCATGTATACTTGAAACTCCTTTACCATAGTGTAGCAATGTGAGACAAAAACAAAAATATCTGAATATGCTGTATTTTAATAGCAAGTATGCTCTTGAAAAAACGTCTTGCTGGTCACACCCAAAATCCAAACTATGACTGTTCATCACATCTATCTATATACCAGTGGTGACGAACCTACGGCATGGGTGCCAGAGGCGGCACTCAGAGCCCTCTCTGTGGGCACGCGCGCCGTCACCCCAGTCCTAGCTCTTCAGCTGGGTTTTATAAAACCTTTTTGCTTTAGGCCTCTGCCATGTACAAAAAAAAAAGGTTCAATCAATCAGTCAATTTCAACTTCTTGCGGGGAAAAAAAAGAACTTGCAAAGTTGGAATTGATTGATTGAACTTTTTAGTCCCACCCAGTCTGCTGTTATCACCGCAGCCATGCCCACCCAATGGGCCACACCCACCTGGCATCCGACGATGCATACCGGTAAGTGGGTTTTGGGTTGCAGTTTGGCCACTCAGTCTCTAAAAGGTTCGCCATCACTGCTGTATATTATTAATACTGTTGTGTCTGTTTGTTTGTAGCCTTCAGTTGGGCAAAATTGGGAAGTACAGAGCAACAATTATTGAACCAAGGTAACTGAAATGGGCGAATGTACAGAATGCTGGGACCTATGACTCCTGTGGGAATTAAATTTGGGAAAGTTGTGGCCACTTCGCATCAACACGCCTTCAACTATATTTCCCAGAAATCTGTACACTGTATGGCACAAGGAAAGATGGGAAAAGCAAATTCCCACCCTCCTTCCTACCTCCCTCTAGTCCCTTAGGCCTGGGAGCAAGTCTTGATGGGCCAGTGGCCATTGGCTGCTTTGGAACCAAGACCAACATTTGAAATCTCCTAATGGCAATCACTGGTGATGAAAGGGAAGGAGCTACTGGGATGCTTGCTGGTGAGGTATAGTTGGCTGGTGAGTGGTTGAGAGGTGAAAGGAGGTGCCATTGGTGATATGTCTGAATAGGGGAGTGGAGGTTTGCTGTTCCCTTTATTCCTCCTCCCCAATCAAAGTGATAGGCAGTCCTGTGGGTTTGAGGAAAGAAGAAGGAAAGAAGAAGGACAATCAAGCATTTGGGATGCCTGCTGGTGAGATAGGGCTGGCTGGGGGCTACTGGTAGTTGGCAAAGGGGACATGTCAAAATGGTGAACAGGGGTGCAGTTTTCCTTGTGGTCTGCAACTCACTTGGTTCCCCCTTCCTCCAGCAAAGTGGCAGACAGTAATGCGAGCCAGCCAAGAAGAAGGCGGCAGTCACCTGAGGATCATAGGGGAGGGGAAAGAGTGCAAGCATGTGGAAAGAAGAGTGACTCAAAGGGTCACAGGTTGCCCAGTTTACTACTAACACTCTTGTGTCTGTAACCTTTAACTGGGTGAAATGGTGCATTGTAGGGCAACAATTTTTGAACCAAGATACCTCAAATGGGCTAATTTACAGAAAGTGTCCAAAATCTGGAAAAAAAAAACCCCAACTCTAGTGGAATTGAAATTTGGCAAATTTGATGAAATATTTTATGACATAAAATTTTATAAAGCACTTTATGACTTATTACAATGTGTTATAAAACATTTCTATGCTCAACTCCTGGTGTTTGATTATGCTGTGCAACATGGGCTACTTTCAAGGCAGATACATCTCTAAATATCTCACTGAGTTTTTAATAGTTTTTCAGTACATCAGCTCTGTCATTGTTGACGTCATTGAGGAATCTGATGAAATATCAGTAAAATGATGATCCAATGGATTATAGGTTGTATAATTTCTCCAAAAAATCTAAAAGATTGCCCCCTTTCCCAGAGACCCTAGTTTTTGCTTTACCACCGATCCGACAACCGCTCTCAGAAATTTAAAAAAAACGAGAGACTTTTAACCTAAGTTTCTTAAAACATATGAACTCAATGTTGTACTAACCTGAAACTCAGGTTGTGGGTCTAATGAACACATGTTGAGTGCAGTGATGTTATCTGATGATGCCTAAAGAGAATAGAAGGGGAGGGGGAGATACCTGAAGGTTTACGACTTTTTTTTCTTCTTTTTGCTTAAAAGGAATGACTGATTATCGTGCAAATTTCTCACAAATATTACCAAGCACAAGATGATGGTGGGGTTGTGAAAATGACAGGACTAAGCAAAGCACAAAGGATCAAAGAAAGTAAGGGAAGGACAAGGAAGGGCAGCAGCGGGAGGAGAAACCAGAAAGAGGTTTTGTCTTAAAAAGATTTTTAAAAACAATCCCTGCTGCCAAGATCAAGCCACCCTCGCCCCCGTGACCACGGGTTCTCACAACCACACACGCTCCTTCCGGGGATCAAGGGCGTATGTGCGCCCTGCCTCCCATAGCCCCGCCAGCGGGAGCCGCTCCTGCACTAGCCTTAACGTACAACAGTCGCACTCCTGTCTCAGGAGTGAGGAAGGAGTATTCCGCCGGTCCTTCGTGTAACCGACGCAAGGCTTTGCTCCATTCAGGGTAACGCAGGTCCGCCTCTCTCGGCCCTCGGGCATCTCCAACAGTGACACCCACCGTCTTTCTCTCTTGTTCCTCTCATTCCCTCTGGAAGCGAACTTGGTATCCTAGCGACCAGTCACGCCAAGCTGCCCGGCGGAGGGAGGGGGAGGGCGGGCTAGCGGGAAGGTGGCGACGCCTTCAAGCCTGCAGTGGCTTTTACAAAACTGAGGCGGTTTCGGTTTTGTTGGGCGCGCTGCTCTCCAGTAAGGGAGCGAAGTTGAATTTCAGTGGTGCTTGCGTGTCTGTATGAAACGTTATTGATATCAGTCTGCACGCTTTCGGACCCATAGGGATGTTATGATGGGGTGCGTCTCAATCAACCCAGCTGTTGTTTCCATGTTCCCTTTCAGACGGAAGAGCGAGTTGAATGAATAAAAAAAACTGGGCGGAGAAACGTTAAAATTAACATGGACCGGAACCCTGTAGTCCAGTGTTTCTCAACCTTGACAACTTTAAGATGTGTGGACTTCAACTCCCAGAATTCCCCAGCCAGCATAGCTGGCTGGGGAATTCTGGGAGTTGAAGTCCACACATCTTAAAGTTGTCAAGGTTGAGAAACACTGCGTAGTCGGTTTCAGCCCAGGCTTTTTAGTTTGCTGCTGGTTTACAGAACAAGAAAGCAAAAATGATACAGCAGGTTATGTATATTTTCAGAGATGGAAATACTAGGAAAATTATAATTAAAAATACAAATAGAAATTCCTTAGCGCTTTCCCCTAAATTTTCTTCTTTAACTACTTAATGTTTCTTCTGTTTTTGTGAAGTGTGAACAGTTAATACGTTGTTGTCATGAGGGGATTCATTATTCCTTGGAATTCCCAGAATGTCTACTTATATAAGAAAAGATTCTTCAATCTCTTGCTGCAATTGTTTTATTTAAAAAGTGGCTCCTTTAATGCTTTCTAGGAAAAAAAATGACATGACTTTTTCTTGTAATAATCTTATTTGGACATGATTGGATACAGCAGTGATATCTATATTATATTAAACATCCATTCAGCTAAGGATCTAGATTCAAGATCAAGATCCAAATATATAATCTCTTTTGAAGATTATGCAGTATAGTGTCTTGCAGGACAAAACAAATTATTTTTAATGAAACCTTTTTACATATAAATTTTAAAATCCCATTATAAAAGTTAATGGTAACTAGCACATGGGAATTTGATGGCATATAATTCTATCCTGCATTTAATTAACAGCAGTTAATTGGACAAGTATAAAATTATTATTAGGCTCATATGAAAATATTTTTCAAAATTAACAACTGCAGTTAAAGCTGTCTTTGGGGAATTACTAAGAAGTGTTAGAATATAACAATATGCTATAGTGATTAAGGAGTTGGATTGGGATTGGGGTGATCCAGGATCAGTTTTTGTCCTCAAGCTATGGAACATTTTGCTGCTGCTGTTTGTCGACTGCTGGTGACTGCCTGGACAAGTCTCTGCAGGTTTTCTTGGCAAGATTTTCAGGAGTGGTTTGCTATCACCTCCTTCCTAGCCTTGCGACAGTCATCCAGCTGAGCTCATGCTTAAGGTACAATTCATGCTCTCCCAGAGAGTAGCTCAGTGCCCTTAACTGCACCAAAATACTATAGCTTTTAATAAAAAGAGCTAGCCCAACTCAATCAGTTGATGTGTGCCAAAAGCAAGGCTAATATCCCAGGTTTTCCTTCTCTTCATTCAGCATACGCTCTTCAAGTAACTGCAGGATTCAGAGCCAACCTACCTCAAAGGATTGCTGTTCTGGGGAAAACTTAGTGAGAACACTATGTATGTATGGTATTTGAGCTCCTGCGGAACTGTGATACAAATTTAACAAATAGGAATAGTAAAATATAACTAGAGAAAAGGAAAGAACAGATTATTTTAATGTTACTTAAATATCAACTTGTTTTGAGTATTTCTCCTTAATTTCTGTTGTGCTGTTTCATCACGGTGGGAGGTGAGAAATGGGTTTCTTGGGAAGGATGAGCAAAGAATGGCAGGAGTATATACCAAACATATGTAATCCCAGCAGGATCATGCAAAGCATGAAGGTCGTACCTGCTCAGCTAAAGCAAGCAAATGCTGCCTATATTGGGCAGCAGCAATACAAGATGCTGGAGGCAGACCATCACTTTAGTGACAAAAGCACAAGCATAAATTCATATAGTGAAGAAGACCAGAGTAAACTGCTCCCATTATTTAACTAAGAAAAACCACATGGATAGAAAATATAAAATGATTGATACTATAGTGCTAGCGCAGTGTTTCTCAACCTTGACAATTTTAAGGCATGTGGACTTCAACTCCCAGAATTCCACAGCCAGCAATGCTGGCTGTGGAATTCTGGGAGTTGAAGTCCACATGCCTTAAAATTGTCAAGGTTGAGAAACACTGTGCTAGAGGATGGGCCCCTCAGGATGGATAGTAATCCATGTGCTACTAAAGAAGACCTGAGGATTCTTTTGCCTTTGGGGCTCTACTAGTAGCCAAGAAGTATGCCAAAGACTAGCACTTAACAGCCATGAAGGCATTGAAAAAGATATTCAAATATCCTTATGTATCTTTACTTACAAAGATCACAGTAGTGCAAAGCATGATATTCTATGGATGTGAAAGATTGTGAAGAAGCAGAATATTATAAAGGACATTGGCACTTTGAACTTTGGTATTGCAGAAGACTCTCAAGAATACCATTGACAGCCAAGAAAACAAACATGTGGCTCCTCAAACAAATCAATCCAGAATCCAAATCAACTTCACAGCCAACCAGAGATAGCACCGACCCTCAACCAAGCCACACAAGCCAGTTCACCTCCCAATGACCCTGACCTGATGTAACCTCCCCATTACAAGATCATTACAAGATTCTCACACTGACTCACCTGACCTATCATAAGACCCTCAATTGACACACCCACACATGAAGCCCTTATAAACAGAAGAACACTGACAGTGACATCCACTAAACTCCGCTGAAGATGTTATCTAGCCTGGTAACAAAATGTTCGGAAACCAACCCAGACTTTCGGAGAACAAACCTTCACCCACAAATCAATCCAGAATTTTAACTCAAGGTATAAATGACCCTGTCCAAATTATCTTACTTTGAACTCATTATGCAAAGACTTAGCTCTCTGGAGAACACTAAATGCTGGGGGAAATGAAAGAGAAAGAAGAGGACAATCAACAGGAAGGTGAATGAACTCAGTTACAGTGGCAATGAACGTATCATTGAAAGTACTACTGGGCCAGATTAGAAACAGATGCTCATGGGGAACAATCTTTCCATGGAGTGACTAAGCATCAATGTTGACTTGATAGCACACAATCATAATAATATAAATCCTTTATACCTTTAAAATGAAATATAAAACGCCAATGATTATTTATCGTAATAATTCAACAAGCTATTAAGATCTCTTTTTTTCTTAGTGGTGAGGAACAGTCAATTAAGGGGTCAAACTATAATATCTCTGGAAAATTCTTCTGGATTCAATAATTTCACATTCATCCTGCCATGCAATTTTAGAGACCACAGTCCATATGAAGTGCACATTTTTTTATTATTATTATTATTATTATTATTATTATTTAATAATAATAAATAACATAAAAATGGGGCGGGAAGAGGAACGCCTGAGTCCCGCCGATTGTCGGATTATTTTTGTTTATGTTTTCATGTTTTTGTGGTGGCAATTTTTGTATTAATTTTCCTTTATAATTAAACCGGAAACAATAAAATTTTAACAAAATTTTGGGTTGATTTTTATGGGGAATCCGGTGTCCTGCCATCTTAAATAGCTATGTCTTGAGGGCGCGGCGGAAGGGAGATCCGGGATCACCCTGAACTCTGGGGGTAGCTCGTTCCATAGGGTGGGAGCTCCAACAGAGAAGGCCCTCCCCCTGGGGGTCGCCAGCCAGCACTGTCTGGCTGACGGCACCCTGAGGAGACCCACTCTGTGGGAGCGTACCGGCCGATGGGAGGTAATCTGAGGCAGAAGGCGGTCTCGGAGATATCCAGGTCCGATGCCATGGAGCGCTTTGAAGATGATAATCAACACCTTGAAGCGCATACATTTTTTTTCTGAATCCCAACAAACCACAAAAGTAAAAAGAACTGGCTTGTGGTTATTTTAAATTTCATAAATCAGGGAAGTTATTTGTTGCAACTTTTGATTAAAACACTTAGGTCTTCAATTGTGCTATTTCAGATCTGCAAATCAGTGAAAGATCTACCATTGATGCAGATGAATATACTATCCATTGTTGTCTTGAAGTACGCATATTTGCAGAAAGGTAATTTTGTAGAGTTTTCATATAAGGTATATATTTGCTAGGTAACTATCATTTTTATTGACAAAGGACTCAAGCTAGCATGAAACAGTTCTGAAGTATAAAAAGAGATTTTATTAACGTGTATGTACAAATTTACATAGCCATAAACTGGAGAAATACAAATGGCATTTAACCATAAACCGCCTTTTCTTTCATTTTACAGAAAATCATTATTACTTGATTTAAATTTTTAAAAAGCAAATGGAGAATTAATTCAGACATTCATAGGTTGAATAAATATTCAGCCTGACTTTAAAAACAGACTTTCTGCTGGAATTCAGTGACATGGGCTTAAGAATTAAATACTGAGAAATTAATTTCCCCCCACTCCTCTAGCAGATATCTATCAACTGGCAGCCAATTAGATAGGGCTTAAACACAGATTAGCGTACAAATGCAAGTCTTTATGAGGGGGTGCTGTATTGGGACTGATCCAGGACTATGGAGGCCACTCAGCTATTGCCTGGTCAGCAACAGAATTGCAAGCCACCAGCTTTTTATACAAATGAGTCATTTGGCTCCTTCCTTCTGAATACCCACCAATAAAAACACGGGAGCCCCCTTCAATTCAAAAAGTGCTCAATATGGCAGCTACATACAATATATTTTCCATCTTGTTTTAGCCACATCAGGGAAACTAGTAGGATGTTAGAGCAGCAAAAATAGAAAGGGAAGATTATTTTTAATACAATTAAGGGAATTGCCCAGGGCAGA